AAACAATATGTTTTTTTTTCTTTTTTAATTTAATAATTTTAATATGTCGCGAATGATATTTTTATATTAAGATCCCAATGGAAATTATTTAAATTAATTTGTTTGAATGATATTAATCATAAAATATTTTGTTTCTTTTTTTTTTCTTTTTTCTTTTTGATTTCTTTTTTAATGTAAACGAGTAAGAAATAATAAAATGATACTTTATTGGTTTTTTTTTTATATAATTATTTTTACTTACGAAAATCTATCACATTGGAAAAAAAAAGAATAATACTTGAGAGAGACATTATATTACGCGCTCAACGATATAGAAATTTCATAGCAAAACTTGTGCTCTACGTACATACCGTTGTATCCACATTTACATTGTATACTGTGATAGTAAAATTTTCGGTGTTACTTTGGGCGTGGACACATCGGGTCAGGCGTTGCACCAAGCCAAGACCACCTTTTTAAACGGTACGAAAATCGCACGATCTGGTTCACTGTTAACATACAAATATTCGTCAGGGTTAGATCAATATAATATATCTTTTAATTTAATCGATAATTATTACGACATTCATTTAAAATCTCTAAATAAGTCAAAATTTTCTACAATATTTTTTTTTTCACACTCTTTTTCTTGTAAACTTTTACCTTTTTTCGATCATAAAAAGAACTTATAAAACAGCTAATTTAAAAAGTTATGGTAACGTGTAATTAATTTGTAAACTTTGTATTAAATATTTTTCATTTATCCTGCATATAATCATTGGAAATTTTTATTCTAAATAAATCAATATTACAATAATTATTACAAGTATATATAAATAATTTCAAACAAAAAATCAAAATAATTAAATATGAAATATTTCAAATAGCAAGTTTACAAAGTTTCAAAATTCTTTATAAGATATTTTAGAAATTAGTTAAATATTTTTAACTCATCTAAGAAACTTTTGATTTATCCTGTATAATATATTTGACAATTTTTTAATAAATTAATCTCTTAATAATTGTTACAAAATATATGTTATAAATCATTTTCAATTGAATAAATAATTCAACATAAAATAATGTAGAAAATGAGGTGTTCGTTAAGAAATGTTCATTTTATAAATTCCTGGTTTAGAAAGATAGATAGATAGACAGAGAGGAAGAGAGAGAGAGAGAGAGAGAGAGAGAGAGAGAAAGTGAGAGAATTGTGGTCGATCGATCGTTTTATGTGTGTGAGTATAAATTCTAACTCGAGATCAAAATCTGAGGAGGCGCACTTTCAGGGACGTTGATGATGGTCACGCGAACATCGTCGTTGCGTTTCGAGTGATTTTCGTATAAGCTCCTGTAATGCCTGCACGAGGTATTTCTCACGACAAAGATTCACGCGACAAGTTTCCTGCAATTTTACAAGACATTATTTATCCACTCAATCGACAATAATTCTTGTCACGTTTATAACCGGATTAAATATAGAATAAGCTTATTTTTATTTTTAGTACAACAACAACAACATCAACAAGAACGTACTTCAAATTTAAACAAATTTAAATTAAAATTAATTAAAAAATTATTAACTTAATTATTAATTATTAATAATGAAACCCACAGAGGTACTTGTGGATTTGATCATATTCAGACGATGATATAATTACAATGATAAAAAAAAAAAGAAATATTGAAATATAATAAGAAAAAATTCCATAGGTTGGTGGTGATGAGGGAGTTGAAATAATTTAATCTCGAATGAAAAACAATTTTATTAACAGATATTTTCGATTTCAGTATTATCCTTAAAAAGTTGAGAGTTAATACATACGCCAATGCATTTGCGTATGCATATGCACGTTCAACTTAGCGAGTAAAATAACGACAAGACGAGAAGAGAAGAGAAGAGAAAAGAGGAAAAGTATATATGTAGAAGGCGAGGCCCGTTGAAGGAAGAGGTATCGCGAGGGTTTATCTCAAACAGAATTGCTTTTGTCACGCAGCTCGTACTACGGCCCATTACCTCAAAAACATTATGCAATTACGAAATTAAATACACCGGACCAATTGCTAGGGCATTTCTTTTTCCTAAAGATTACACATTTACTTTGACCAAGTCGCAATTCTCTGTTTCCTTAAACCGATTCAAAATTAAAACCCAACTGAATTTATTTCTTTGTTTTTGTTCCTTTTATATTTTGATTTTTAATTTATTGGCTTGTTTGTTTGTTTACAAAAATAATAATACATTTAAGATTCTTCATATCATATCAATTGTAATTTGAAATTCTACGCTGATTTTAATATGTATTTCTATAAATTGGTAATATTTATTTGTGAAAAAAAAAATAAAAATCTAATAGAACAACACTTACCAATCGAAAAATCTTCTACCGTGAAATGTGCCATCGGAGGAACCAGTGACGTTCGGTAATTCAACACCTACGTGAGAATCCTCTCGACCAGGAACTGGACCGACGTATCTGACACGACCTTGAAGGACTCTTCCTTCCGGTGAAATTACTTTGACAAGATGATCTAACTTCAGATCTCTTGGTATCTATTAAATAAAACATACTCTTAATGATCATCATAATATAATAAATAGAGACAGGGTAGTCTCAAAAGTTTCTAGAATTATATTATAATTTTACAATTAAAAAAAAAAAAGTAGCCAATTAATTTTGGAAATTATTTCAGAACTTTTGGGTTAACATACGATAACTAATCCTCGAAGTAATGTCTAACGGACTCAATTACTGAAATATTATTAATAAGAGCATCGGTTACAAAAAAAAAGATATAAAACATTGTATCTAATGTAAATGAAAAGATAAACGAGGTAAAAAATGTAATAATATGTAATAGAGGAACACGTCTTGTCGCAAGCAGAGAAGAATAACGACTGAGAGGGAAAGGGGATGAGTAGAGGTTAAATTTACGAAAAAAGCGTCTTTTCGATCATTTAATGTTTTGTTTTTATGTATATATGTATCTCACTTTTCGGTTGTTATCGTTTTTATTCTATAACGAATTTCGTCGCCGTATTTATAAACACATTAACCTTCGTGTACATTCGGTATTTCTCATGTGTATTTCGTAGCTATTTTCATTATTTTTTGTTAGTCTTATTCGAACGTCGGTATGTGTAACAACGGTATTAGAAAAATAACAAATTTACTTCGCGTATATACGTGTGTGCGCGTGTTTTTTGCTAATAATATGCATTTGTGCGCGAGTGTATGTGCTACAGGAATATATTAAAACATGTCTATACGGAAGCAGATAAGAATAACGACTGACAAGGAAAAGGATGAATAGATATTATGCTTGCAAAAATAATAACTGTTTTTTTGTTTTTATGTACATATGTATATACATATCTCACTCGACCGATATTCATATTCGACCATTGTAGTTTTTATTCTATTATGAATTTCGTCATCGAATATTCCTAAAACAATCACGACATACATATATAGCAACAATAATTTATAATTATATATAAAGTATAAAACGATTGACTATAAAAAAAAGAAATATACTTTTAAAGTTTTACATTTAATGATTTTTGATATCAAATTTCTACCATAAATATAATAAAATTAAAATATATTAATAATATTCAAAGAGCATGGTTGAAAATTATTAACAAAATGAATCAGTTTTATCACAAGCAAGAATTTTCGAGAATTTAGTCTGTTTGTTATTTATTCAAATGAGATCATTCACCTTTGGTAGGTAGGGTCTCGCATCCTGAGGGGGAGTCCATTCGCGTGCAAGATCAGGTTCGGAGTGCCTTCGAGTTCTTCTCCTCCTGGCTGCTATTTGTCTGGTCCAATAATCCGTACTAGCACTGGTACTCGAAATGGTCAGCATAGAATCAATACTTCGACGCAAATAATCCTCCGCCTCGTCTATCAGAGATTCCGTTGAATCTCCGCTATTGTCACCGGCACCTACTATGTCTGAGCGCAAGTTAGGTAAACTGCCACGCGTCATTGGACACTCTGAAATGTGGAAACACGAGCCCGGTTCAAATGTAATACCTTCTTTTTGTTAGAGGATTAACAAAAGAAAAAGTTTACGTAATAACCTTTCAAACGAATCCAAGCGATTAACTTGTACTCTCGAATTATATTTAACTTTCAAACCTTATATTTATTTATACCCTTTATAAGAAGTTTTTTCTCTCTTTTAAGAGATAATTCTTTTTTTTCCTTTTTTTTCTCTTTTTCCTCTTTTAGATAATAAGAAAATTTTGCAAAAGTTTGCGTAAGCACAAATATACTGAGAACATACGAAAAATATAATATTGATTGTAGCAATTAATTCGGTACCTTTAAAAAAAGACAAAATATAATATTTATTTATAAAATAATCGTACATTTTTGTGTTATTCTTCGAAAAATACTCTCACTGTTATTTTCGATGACTTTTATTCATATTTCAAACAAACGTCGAATTCCTTGACGAAAATCGCACAGGCAATTTTGATGCAACGAATTTATTATCAATGCACCGAATTAATTGTTACATACAATTTGTAATCAACAGGATTACGAGATTAGGATAAATAAAATAATAAAGAAAAATATCTCACATAAATGAGTATCTTTTCTTACCTTGAAAAGTGACTTTAGAGCGTGTTCTCTTTGGTACATTCTTCGATGATCTCGAGGACGTTGCAGGAGGATGAACATGAGTGGGAGAAGATGGCATAGATGACCAGGTTGGTCTAGGTGTAGAAGTAGCAACAGGAACTCTCCATGCATCAAAAGAAGTTGCTGTTGTTCTCCAAGAGTGTCTTCTTGGTGGACCACTGACGACTTCTAATCCTGGCGATGGTATCGAGCTCAAGGAACCTCGGTATCTTGAGGAATAGAGATCAGCAGACAATCGACAATCGCAAGGACTTGGTAAAGTCGTTCCCAGATTACAACGAGGCCAATAACTTGCTGGTGATCCTAAGGATTCGCGACGATGAACTTCCGGTGTACGGTGTCCACATCCTCGAGATCCTAAACAAGTCTGTAACACGTTGATATTTTTTTAAAAAAGATTAGGCAAATCAGTTTTTTAATGAAATCGATTTGATTCTGTACAATGTAGGAACACCAAATAGGCAAATAATTTTTTATCTATTATTTGATGTCGTACATAGTAGAATTATCAAATGGAAAAAAGTAATTTATAACGATCATCTATATTCACGTACGATATGAAAATAATGAAGATACTTACGTGCATTATGTATGATCATCTAAGAATAATAAATTCTTTCATGAATGAATTAAAAATCGAAGAAAATAAATCATTTAATCGTGACGTTTATCCTTAAACGGTCCAACGCCTCTATACGTTCGTATAATCCTTAAACGTATATTATTATCGTATAAAGGCACCGAGACTTACAGTCGCAAAACGCGACTTAAGTTCATTTTTCTCACGTTCACATGGACGTGAACGTAAACGTAGTTAAATGGCGTCCGCGGGTAGGAGATAAGAGAACCGTAAGTCGTAGTAAGGTGCATATGGTGCAATTAGTCATCATCTGAGACTTAGAAGAAGCAAGATAGATAATATGTTGAGAAATAAAGAAAAAAAGATCACGAGTACGTGTTCATGGATGTAAAGCAAACCGCTTTATATTAGAGTTCCACTCGTTCGTGGCCTTCTGGATGCACACAGTGAGGATTATTGTGCGTGCATACTACCAGCACACGTTGAATTAATCAAGCTGTTATTACGCCGACTGCCGTCCGTTTCTCTTCGTAAAACGCCAACATCTACTCTATTACAAGACTTACGACATCAAGCAAACACGTGTCAGGGTTATCTCTTTGCGCAATAACTTTGAACGAGTTCCGCGAAAAATCATCTCCAAAAATGCTACAACACCCTGGAGGGGGTGAGAGGCTGCGATCTTTTCTTCTTTCGCAAAAAAAAAAAACAGAAAAAAAAGAAATTCTTTCCACCGTTGTACTTTTGCTTTTTGTAATTTACCTGTGCATGAGGATCGTGACAAAGATGATCAGCACTTCTTGACAATTCTGGTACCATGCTGGTGAAACTGATGTCCGAGAGTAAAACTCGTCTTGCTTCGCGTGTCTTGTCAGACAGCCTGAGCCTCCCGGGTACACCAGTCGGCAATGCGAATTTACTTGGAAGCGTTGTAAACGTGTGAGCCACTTTATGTGCGAGATAGCTTTCCGAACGCCATTGTGCCGGGAGGGCCGAAATGTCGGTTTGTGCTCCTGACTCGCGTTTGGCACCACTACTACGATCCATTACAGGACGAAGAGGTGCTGAACTTTTTCTTCGACCACCAGCCAAAGCTTCCCGATGTATTATTGGCCTGTAATTATCCAACGTGTAATCATGTCGATCATTTCTTACCACTTTCAAATTACATATTTTTCGTAATTAAAGAAATCAAAAGATATATTTGAAATGATGATGATGATGATGATAATAACAATAATAATAATAATAGTAATAATAATGATGATGATGATGATGATGATGATGATGATGATGATGAAAACGATGTTGATAGAGATTATTTTTGTATTACATATAAAAACAGAAACAAGGTTAGTATCTATAATCGACATCATTGTACGAGGAAAAATTGAATAACATGATATTATAACGTTGCTCGTTTTATAATCTATGCACTGTATTATATGGGTTACTGTCGTAAAGTTATTTTTGTTCTTGCGTCAACGTTCCTCCGCGTGAAAGTATATACGTTTATTAACAACGATAGGATCCTTATAAATCATAAATAAATATCATACAATTAATTTTTCCAACATTGTGTGAGTGGTATTGGTACATTGACCCTTTTTCATCTTGTTAGAATTTTTCATGAATTAGTTAATTATATTTGTACGTTATTACGCCAATGAAATTTGTCGTTTGTAACTTATACTACTTATAGCCAACAACAGGGTGTACATTTTAAATACACTTATCTAGCTGGCTCGTTGAGAGAGTACCGTCAGCGTTAGCATTCATTGGTACGTAAAAACAAAGCCTCTTCAAAACGAGCGAGAGCACTTTACGATCGGCAAGTGACTAATTACGTTCGCTTATGTGTGCATATTTCAGTGTATGTGTGGAATACGTAATGTATGCAAACACTAACAGGAAGGCCTATTTTATGAAGTAGTGAGGTAGAACGGTAAGAAGAGTAATGGATGTAGTTAGAACACAAATAATGTAAATATAAAACCTATTACGTTTCTAAGAGCCAAAATATTATCACTTAATATCGTAAACTTAAATATTCGTTTGTTACGAAAGAATTCTAAATGAATGAGTAAATAAAAGAAAGATCTACAATAATAATTCGAATTATTTGTTCAAAATGCATACACAAGATAAACATTTTAATTCGTATAAAAGTAGTTGTCTTCACATATTTCGTTTAAACTTTCTAAACAAGCAACCCAATGTATGAGATGTAATTAAAAATATGTAAATACCTGTAAGCAGTCGGAGGTGCAGCCAAAGTGTTTCTCCTAGTTGCATGCCTAGTTAAATGTTCAGGTTCCTCAAGTACACCACACTTGCTGATGTCAGTTTCAACGAGAACGGAACATTGAGACCACATCTTGTTTAGTCTAGTACTAGAACTTTCGTCGAATCGATCGACGCTTTCTTCGCGATCGATACTGGAACTTTGAGATGAGACTGCTTCTTCAACGGAGCTGGTCTTATCACCGTTACAAACAAGAGACTCTCCTTCGGAAGATTTGTTATATTTTAGATGAGCCGGTTGCCCAGCAGGATTTGGTTGCTGCCAAGCATCAGTTTCCGTTATTGAAACGAGATCCTCTTGAAGACCTAAATCCCTACATGTATCATCTGTCGTAAATATTAATTCAATGTCATCGAGTTCCTCCGAATCATTTTCAGATTGATCATTTAATTTCCCCTGTTCACCCGATTGACTCTGTTGCCTATGCTGATGTTGTTGTTGTTGCTGTTGTTGTTGCTGTTGACTTTGTTGTTGCATAGATCTTTGCTGCGGCGGCGACTGAGGTTCAGGATTATCACTGAAGACAGAATTATCACCGTCGGAAACAGATCTAAGGCTCAAATCTTCGCTATCTTTTTCTGGTAAATCAAGACGATCTATTACAACAGAACCATCGTTATCGTCCTGACAATCGTCCTGAACATCATCTCCGCAAATGTCTTCTTCTTGACTCTCTTTAGACAGCACCGATATTAGACCACTGATACCGGACTCATCCTGACCTAGATTACATCTAGATTGTGTTCCATCCCTTGAGGAATGCTGTTGATGTTGCTGTTGTTCTTCTACTTGTTGTTGTTGTTGTTGTTGTTGAGTTGTTGTTTCCGAAGGTAAGGATGGAAACTCACGACGAACGCGGCGTATTACCGATGTACTACGAGCTTGAGTTTCCGGGCTCGAGCTACCGATACTTCGCCGGGTTCCACTCGTTCTGATCGTTTCTGACGTCTCCTCGACGACAATTTTATTCCCTGACGCATCCATCGTGGCGCTAGCCGTGTCTACTGATGATGATTGCCTATAACAACGCGTCCAACGTTCTTCTTTTAAACTGATATGAGTCAAATAGCAGATAAAAAGAGTTTATTAAGTTCTCACCATAATTTCTAAAACTTATCGATCATTTTTTAGAACGAACGAACGAACGAACCGTTTGCATGTAGAGAATAAGGGAAAAAGTGCAAACGGATAATTTGACGTTTCCTCTACGCTTATGAAGAAGAAAAAAAAATAAATAAAAAGAAGAAAAACGTTCGTTCGTAAGAAGAGTTAAATTAGAAAAGGTTAGCAAGGATAATGAAATTGCCTATTTCACGAGCATTAACCAACTCAGCGATGTTTTTACTATGGCTTCGTTGATAGGTATAACTCCTTTTGTATAACTCCAAACGAAAACTCGTAAATAAGGCTACGCGCTTCCAGCTTCCACTTGGTTGCACGTAACGAGTTTGCGAGGGTATCGTTAAACGTGTTATCGGTAAGAATAAGTAGAAAAACAAACAAACGATGAGAAGAATAAAAGGAAAATAGAAATAGGATAAGTAATTTGTAGTTCCTCGTAAAAATTCATTGGCTTTTCATTTCTTTTACCGTTCAAACAAAAAATATGAGCGTGCAATATTCGCGTTGATAAACAAAAATAATAGCTCTACAAGTATAGATATTAATTGTATGCTTATTTTTATCTATAATTTATTAGATAAAATAAAATCATATTTTCGTAATTTTAAACATGATATTTGTAAATCCGTCAAATCCATAAACTTAATTTACGATAGACTGCAAATTGCCCGGCCGGAAATCTGGATTTTTTCAAATGTACGATGAATATTCTCAAAGTTTGATATAAAAATTTGAGCCTCTGATATTAATTAGAAATTAATTACTCTCTTTTTTGTTTTTTGAAACCTTTTAGGCCAAATTTGTTTTCAGATTGCAAAGAAACATCGCTCTTCTATATATATATATATATCAAGTAATAAAATATTGATAATAATGAAAATTATATATAAATATTGTAGTATTTGAAAGTTAGATAATAATGGTACTACATTTGTATTAGTAGAAAATATATGAGAAATTTTATCTGTGCGAGAAAATTGAATGACCAAGTGAAAAGAAGAGTATGAGGCGGAGTAATTAGTCAATTAGCAGTGGCAGAGTCTTACGAAACTCACTCGGTAGGGTCTTCTACTTGAAGTGGAACAAAACGAGGCTGGTGCGACGGCGGCTGCGGACTCGTAGCAGCATCGTTGGAAAAGTCGGTACTTCTGCTAAGTATCTTACGTCTTAGAACGTGGTTCTCCAGGGCTAACCTTTCAACCACCTCGACGTATTTCTCCTCGGAAAATTCACCAACACTTTCCTTCAATCGACGTAGTTCTTCGCGCGATGAATCCAATGCGGATCGCAGTGATATAACCGTCTAAAATTTACATCAAAATTGTGGTTTTTTTTAATTTTAAATAATACAAAATGATTCGTATGAACATTTAATTTTTTATTCGCATAATAAACAAATTGATTCCGGTAAAATAAAATACAATTTTCAATATTTAATATCGAACCAAGTTAGATATTTATCATTGAAAATATTAAATTTGATCATATATTATTTTCATTGGATTATTTGTTCAAATAAAAAATATTGCTAATTTATTGAACAATTCAATCATATATTATTACATTACTTATTCGGATTGAGAGAATATTGTATATTTTGATATAACTTATTTAATAATTTATTCCTATAGCTTTTTCTATTATATATTTAAACATAAAATAATCAAAATTTTGATATACAGAGTGTGAGGTTTTTCCGGTCAAACGGTATCAGCATATTCTACGTACAAAACCAACAATAAAATATTATATTACTTATTAAAACATAACCCAATACATATAAATAAAACATTGATTATGATAATGAATACAAGGATAACACAATAAAAACATTTATGACTCATTATCGGATCAAATTACCGGTTCAAATTTGATCTAAAATATTTGTATTGGCATAAAATTATTTATTCTTGACGACTATGCTTAAAAATTGTAAAAAATCGGTTTTGATAATGTCTAATGGAGCTTTTGTTAATTAAATTTATTCTAAAAGATTGTTCGCGAACTTTAGAAACGTAAGTTCCGCTATTCAAGGAAAGAAAATATTTAGATGATTTTTACTTCTTAACAAATTTTCTCGACTCATCCGGTGTGGGTTACTTTAAAAGCAATTGAGAGTAATAGAATCTGAAGAAATTTCAAGGATACTCCGTTCTAGGACGAAGATAAACTTATTCCACAGCTCGGTCGACGTTATTGACAATGTTGTTCCTTTGAAGACACGATAATGCGAAACGCAGGAAAAGCATTTTGCTTTATCGATTAAATGTCTTCTAAAACTTCGCGTACGTACAGCCATTGCGTCTTTTGCTTTTAACTAAAACTGATTTGCCAAAGAAAAATCGAACAAAATGCGTTACGATTCGTGCTCCAATTGTGGTTTAATATCCCGAACGAGGTCGACTCATTAAAATGCCAACATATTTATCCAATACGAATGAATTCAATTTTTATTCGTCACAATTACTTTAGTTTTATATTTCAATTTTATCTATTTATCCGTCATTATATTTTTCTATCAAAACTCATTGCATTCAAAAATAAATTATGTTCTATCTAATAAATTTTTTAAGTAGATATACCTAGACATTAAAAATATATATATAAAATTGAAAACCAACTTAGAATTTATGATTTCTTGAAAATAATTCAATAACGAACAGATGAAAAATATAGACAAACTAATGCACACAACACACACACACACACACACAAATTAAATTAAATTAAATTAACTTTATACTTTATTAGAAAAAGAAAAGAAAAGAAAAAACAAAACAAAACAAAAAAGAAATAGAAAATTCTATTCCAGTTAATCTAGACAATCGTACAGAGATATATACTTTAATTGTTCATTAAATTAAAAAGAAGAGTACAAATAGAATAAAATAAAAAGAAAAAAAATAAGAAAGTTATATACGTAACGATAAAATAATCATGTTGTTAGGACACATGCCTCGTGAGGATTTACCGAGAAATTAATTAAAGGTATGTAATAAAAGAGTAGAACGAAAAAGTAGAGGAGCGAAAAGGGGAGAGAGGGGTGGGGTAGAGGGTCTTACACTTTTATGGTATTATATTTGAAGGAAATATTTCCCCGCACTATGTTCGTTGATTATCTTTTCTCGATTTAATTTGCGCGTGTGTCCCTAATGACGACTACTGCTCGGCCAACCGTTGTTGTAGTATTCCTAAGTATTTACTTTCATAGCAAAAGAATTGCTACTGCTGCTGTTGCTGTTGCTACTGCTGCTGCTACTGCTGTTTGCTCGAGGAAACTCGAGTCAAACTTACACCGTCATTATTCGCGACCATTAAACGCATAGTAGTACTGAAATCCGCGAAACTTAACTTTCGAAATGGCAAACCTAGCAAGGAAACCTTTGAAATTAAGCGAAATACAAATCCGACGAACGGTTAACTTGTCGTTAAGTCGTGATCTTTCCATTAACTATCCCACTAATTTGACTTCTCCATTTCTCTTATGCTTTTTTTTTATTTTTATTTTTTTTTTGTTTTTTTTCTATTATATATCAAATAAAAAAGAAAAAAGATCGTTTAATTAAATAACTTTCGCGAAAGCGGAAATCCGGGGGACTTTCTTTTTAATTCATTTTATTTTATAGTTCTCACCGAAATAAATCTCGCATGACAAGTATAAGACATGGGATAAAACGGGATAAGGTATAGGATAAGGTAGGATAAGGTATAATATATATACAGGGTGTCCTGTAACTGGTGGTACAAGCACGCAAGGGATGATTTTATATTTATAACTAACATAATGCGAAAATGTAGAATTAAAAAATTTGTTTTCGAGAAAAATCAATTTGACAATTTGATTCAACTTGCAGACCTGGTAATTATAAGTCTTGTTCGATAAGCATAAGAAACAAATTGATGCAAATAACATTGTCGCATACCGATAATATCGATAAAAATATTAAGAAACAAGACAATGTTCTTCGAAATATTTTAAAGTAAGGCAGTGAAATTCGTCGAACAGAAACAGAGAATCGAGTATACTCGTACCGGACAAATTTTTAAACTTATTGTTCTCCGAAAGGAAGTCTTGTATGAACAAATTTTATTCAACATTATCAACTTATTAGTTATTCATGTAGAATCATTGCAGAATCCTGTACCATTGTAAAATCCTGTTCGTTTGTATCATCAGTAACAGGACACCCTGTATATGTACAGGATATAAAGTAACAGATTTGTGCGGAGAAATATTAAGTATCCGATTTAATCTTGCTCTTAATAATAATAATAATAATAGTAATTCTGTATCATCTCCTATACTTGCATAACATTATTAAAATGTTCTAACTTGAATTTAAAATGCCGACCACCCATTTAATAATAACAGTATTAAAATAAAAATACAGGGTAGTTAATTATTTGTAATTTTCTATACGAGGTCTGGTATCTTTTAAGGAGATTTATACGTTCTCGAGGCTTACATTTATCGCAGAAATGGATTCGTGGGAAAATCCAATCGAATCGAATCAGAATCGTTCATGTAAAAATGATATCCTAACTACATAACGGAACAAGAGTCAATCTGGCAAGACAAGAGTCCGCTAGGAAAGTGAGTAGTAAATTGGCACGCTATTGGCCGGAAAAAGCGAACTACTTTATTTCCCTCGACGAATAGGAGTCGATTGCTTAATTGCCGGGAAACGATATGTTATAATTATCCTTAACACGTAAGAATGAGATAGAAAAGATACAAAAAGAGTAGAATAACATAATCCTAACATAATCACGTTTATTGGAAATTTCTAATTGGTTTCAACTTAAATTAAGTTATTATTGGTTCAAATTATTCAGGAACCTACCAATTGTCAGAATAACCACAAATTAACCGAACACATTAATCTCATAATTTTGTGAGCCATATTTAACAAAATATTTCCAACTCATAGGACAGCTCTTGTATTATACGATTTTAAAATGATAAAGTTGTTTATTTCACTTTATGTTTATAAATTTTATAACATTATTAATATTATCAACACAACACTATTATTAAATAAAGAATTATAAAATATTAATAATATATCAAATATTACAATAGAAATAAAACGAATTTTTATTTTTAAATTCAAATCTTTAAAAACTAAATTGACTTAATTTCAGATCATCGAGGGTTGGTAATTTCTTGCATAATTCAATTGTTTATGAAATAATAAATACATTATAATTATGACGATGGACAAATTATAAATCAAATAATTGAAAAATTAATGTTATGTGATTTTTTTAACAATATAATTAATTGTAATATAAAATTAATTTTGTAATCTAATCTAGTGTCGTCATTATCGACACACACACACACACACACACACATATATATATATGTACGTACAATGAAAAATATTATCGGAAAAAAAATAAGAGATAAGAAATAAAAAATACCTGATGCAGAGCTCTCACGACGTCCAATCCGGAGATTCCCGGGGATGGCAGGGTGAGCTGCAGCCCCTGGTGATGAGACGACGCTCGACCGGTTTCAGCTTCCATACCTCCTCCTCCTTCTCCACCTCTTCCTCCTCCAACACTAGCACCACCTTTTTAACCACCTTCACATTCACCTCTTCTTCCCTCACTGTTTCCTTCTTTTCCTTTTTCTCTTCCTCCTTCTCCTCCGCCTCCACCACCTCCCCGCCCAATGTTTCGAGCCAACTTTTGACACCGGCACAGAACATGCCGAATCCTCTTTTGTCCCTCTACTGTCGCGTTCCACTTTCTCCTAACACTTTGGATTACAATTATTTCAAATAGTCTTTTCAACGCGTACCGTCGAATTAACGAACAATTACTATTGCCCTACAATTTATTAATCTCGATCACTTTTATACATTTTTTATGTTATATATAGTTATATATATAAAAAAAAAAAAAAGAAAACAAAACTCTAAAAATTTTCCTCTTTTTTCCTGTTTGTATTTATTATTAATATCTTCGTTTATATTTATCCTCGATCCATACGGGATTGATGCAACACAACATTGCTGTCTCTCCTTTTAACATCCACTTCATTCAGGTACCTCTCCTATCCCAAAAATGTTGATACCACATTATCGCGTCCTCACCCTGCTGAGATGAAAGAAGAAAGAGGAGATAAAAAAAAAGTAAGGGCATCATCTTTCGATAAGGCTGATTCAGGAATTGGAAAGGTCAACGCTAAGCGTAAATAACACGGTATAAACAGGTGTGTTTTTATAAGGGAGAATTTAACGCGCATATCTCTACCGTTCCTAAACGCCCTTCGGCGTTTCATCGATAAGCGTCACCGATTTTTCCACCTTTTTCCGAGTTTCAATGTGTGTACGCATTCACTGAACGATCCCTTCCTTTCTTTTTTTTCTTTTTTTTTTGTTTAATGTACACACTCTTTTTCTTTCTCTTTTTTTCTATCGTCCCTTTCCCTTCATACTAACGAAAGCTTTTTGCACCCGCTATGTAGTAAATACTGTGCACACACACACACACCACATATATATATACATCTATCTTTTTCTATCTAACAAGATTTACACGCGTGAAACGCGCATTAATACATCGAAGTGTATCAATGCGCGCGTTCTGCGCGTGATTACTACGCGTCAATGTCTGATTGTGTGTAACGCGGATTAAAGCCATCCAATGAGATACGGGATATTTTATGCACTTTATTCCAAGCTCTCAGCTTTAAATCGTCGAGGAATCGTGTTAAGTGTGTATCGAGGAATTTAAGAAAATAAAACAAATAAAGATGTAGATAAAAGTTGTTAAAGTAACACGGATTTGTTCTTAAGCGGAATAGGAATAAAAAAAAATAAAAAAGTCAAACACGTATCGACTTAGTCGAATCTTTTGAAATGGGATAAAAAGTTTCCTTTGGGGAAAAGAACGGCAACTTTTTCTTCGCAGATTTGAGCGCGGATTTGAACGCGAATTTAAAATCAAGAGAAAGAATGTATGAAATATGAAACGAAAAAAAATAACTTGAAATGATCGGTAATTATAATCTTTGATATTTTTCTTCGACACGCTGTTATATTAGTTTTCTATTTTATTATTGTGCATTATATTTTTAAATAATGTATCATTCTAATCTCGTTCGTTACAATTCAATTTTGATCCAACTTACAAAAAAGTATCAACTTATCGTAATAATCGTGATGTCCTCTCTACGATAGAAAGCAAACACGAGATGATGAAAGAACTTATTCCGCACAATGTTATGATGTTATTATATACCATACGGGTTCAGATCCCTCTCTATCTATCTATCTCTTTCTTTCTCGTTCTTTCTTTATTCACTTGGTCAACTCTAGTTTTACTTAGTGGGGGAGCATCGTTTAGAAGAAGGCGACGTTCTCATCGAAGTTTGGACGAGGAAGGAACGAAGGATCGTCGTCGTTTCGACGAGACGACGATACCGATCGATACGCAACAGCATTCCTTCGACAGCATCATCGTCCTCCTCCTCGTCGATCCTTATACATACATAAATGCATATGTACGTACGTATCTAAATACATACGTATCTACATACATATATAAGTATTTGTCGTCCTAATCTAGATCGTCGTCGTCATCGAACCGAAGCACCGCTCGGAATACGAAAACGTTCGACGCGTTTCCGTTTACGCGGAATCTTTTTTCACTCTATCTCTCTCTCTCTCTCTCTCTCTCTCTCTTTTTCTCACACTCTTTTTCTATATATATATATATCAAAAGATTACTGCGTTTAATACCGAGACTCGATTACGTTCTTAAATCGTTTACGAATCGTCACTAATCATTCAGAATATTCTTCTCCTCCTTCGAATCCGGCCCGTCCTTTTCTCCGCATTTACGGATAATCTTCTCTTAACAAGTTCTACTCGTTCTCACACTAATGCAATTCTACTACGACACTCTATTCCCCGTATTTCATTTGCTCCGGTTAAGTCCCTTTTTTCTATTATCCCAGTCCCTTATTCTTATCTTTTTTTTCCCCTTTTTCTTTTTATCTTATTCGAGATAACGCCCTTTTTCAGTAATACGAGAAACCCTTTAATGTCCCTTAGAACTTGCTATTTGACTCTCATTCGATGACTCCTCCTTCCCCGAGGCCGACGCCGTTTTACGTACTTACGCACCCACGAGTGTCAACGATATAGCTCCAGAGCTGTCACTTGCCCCTTTAATGCAGACGACGCGACGGGGCAAAGATACACAAGCGATTACGCAGTGCTACCAACGTTACGTCATACGAGGTCCGTCGCTCCCGACCTCCTCGGTTAACTTCGGTTCACGAATTACAACTACGAGATGAGCCTCGTGTATGTTCGGAAAATTTCAATAATGCGCTAAAATTCGATTGTTCTTAAGCGTTCTACGGTAATCACAAACATTTCGATGATTATTTTGATTTAATTATCAAACGATATTTCATTTATTTATTTTCAACAATATTTCGATCATTTAATCCCTCGTTTTATATCATATAATTGATTGTCGTGCGTATACTTTGTTAAATCTTTCGAAGTTATCGTTTTTCTTTTTCATTGTCATTTGAATTTGGCGCTGAAATTAAATAAAACGTAATCAAGTATGCTGACCAATGACAGTTAACGTCCTTCGCGCGTCGTCGCATGTCGACGGAATCACCAAGTATTAAGCGTTGTCGTCGTGTTGGAAAAGATTTAATGGTACTCTTCTCACGTTTAAAGTTCGCTTAAATGCTCATGACGTTGATATTATATGACGGTTAAGAGATATAGAGAGGGTACACGAGGGGAGGAAGAAAAAAAAACTCCAACGTCTCTCCCTGGTGAAAAAGTGATTGCGTTGTAATGTCTACTGCAAGAAATATTATTTGAGTTTTTCAAGCTAAACGCTTTTAAGAAGAGAGACTTTCATTACATAGGATGGAACGCACGAAATATTGTATTAGCATTTTATTAAGCATTTTTTTTCACATTTTTTTATTTCCACATTTTATATCTACGTTGAATGTTTATTCGGAAAATGCAGCCACGAACGAAAATGAAATTACGCCGCAAATCAGTTGGGTATTTAGTAAACCTGCTGTTGACACTTTGCACAGGATCAAAAGAAATCCTATGCATAAACAAGAGAATAATTTATTAAACTCCATGTTACCAAAGTGTAAAATGAATTTGAAAGAACTTTGCGAAGGTATAGACAAGGATGATGAGTTAGTGTTATTAGAATGCATTCAAACTTTGAAGGTATAATATTGTTATATTATTTAATACCAATTATTTATAATTATTATTATATCAGAGATGATTTAATTTATATACTTTTTATTCTCTAGTATTTATTTATATTTTAATGTTTACAGCCAAATGAAATGAATATCATCGATACAGATTGTCATCAAGAGATTTGGGATTATGTTAAGAACATTACCAACAATAAGAATGTATATAGGTTGGCTAAAAAAGCATGCGGTGACTATTTGGAAAAATTAAATTGTTCTTCTACGGGAGATGTGCAAGGAGCTTATTTGTCTTGCCTAGTTGAAAAAAGAGAAAGCGTTGAAGACTTGCGTTGTATTGCTTACATCCAACGATTAGAATGGATTGCATTTAGTGATTTTAGAATTATCACACCATTTTTTTCTGATTGTGAAGCTGATATCACGAAATTTAAATGTGGCAGAATACAACATTACAGAGACATATCGCAAGGACAAATTTTAGCATGCTTGCAAGAACATATCGAAGAATTACAAGTTAAATGTAAACGACGCATACTTCGTGTTTCCGAAATACAAGCTGATAATATTAAACTGGATCGTCAACTATATTTAGCCTGTATACAGGATCATATCACATTTTGTCCAAATATTAGGCCAGGAAGCGGTCAAGTATATAAGTGTTTAATGCAACATAAAAATGAAGAAACTATGACAGGGCAATGTCAAGAACAACTTATAAGAAGAGAAAAACTTATTGCCTCTGATTACAAGGTCAGCAAAGGTTTTGTTAAAGCATGTAAAGAGGATATTAAATCGAATCGTTGCAAAAAAGGAGTATCTGACGACAAAGAAATAAGACTCGCACAAATTTTACTTTGTCTGGAATCGGCTATGAAAAATGGTTCCAAAATTGAACGAAGCTGTCAAGCAGAGATGTTTGATCATAGGAAATTATTAATGGAAGATTATAGATTATCCCCTGAAATAGTTGATGGTTGTGCAAAAGATATTACCACATTTTGTAAGAGTCTTGAAGTTGGCGGTGCCACAATTCATTGTTTAATGGAACATAGTAGAACGCGGAAAAAGAAGTTTAGAGTTACCAACAAATGTCAAAGAGCGGTAATTATAAAACTAATATAAATTTAATATTGTAATAATATACTGTCAAATATATTATTAAATATCACGTCCTTATTTATAGTTAGAACAATTAATAAAAGGAGTAGATGCTGGAGAAGATTGGAGAATAGATCCAATCTTGAGAGAAGAATGTCAACCTGTTGTCGATCTTGCTTGCCGAGAAGTACAATACCATCTATCAAATAAAAAAAATTATTTTTTGCTATTACATTAAGTAATATTAATGTCATAATTTTTCAGGTACGTGGAGGAGATGCTAGAGTAATATCCTGTTTGACAGATCAAATAGGAACTTCTAGAATGACAGAAGCATGCGAAACAGCTTTGATTCAAATACAATATTTTGTAGCTAGAGATTACAAATTAGATCCTCAATTGTATAAAGCATGTAAATACGATGCTGTTCGTTTATGTCATGCAGCAAATGCATGGGCAAATGATGGAACACAAATGGACCCAGAAAGAGGTCCACTTGTATTACCATGTTTATATAGATATGCTTATCAAAAAAATTTAACAGTAAGAATACGATTAAATTTATATGATTAACCTATTTAAATATATTTATCTATGTAATTTTATTTCTTTTTCTTTTTTAAGTTAAAAACTGAATGTTTAGAAGAAATAAGAAGAGTCATGAGACAAAGAGCAGTAAATGTTGATTTACAACCTGAAATCGAAGAAGTATGTTTAAGTGATTTGGCATCATTTTGTTATGATAAAACTGCTAAAGGTGAAGAGATTTTATGTCTTCAAGATAATTTAGATAGGTATTGTATCATCGAGTGAAATTTCTTAAAATCTTTGCATGATTACATTGGTTATTAATAAAACTATATTATTTATATTACAGTTTAACTAAAATGTGCAAATTGGCAGTTGGAAATTTCACAGAAGTACAAGCCGAACGTATTGAATTAAATCCAATAATTTCATCCGCGTGTCAACACGTTATGGAACGTCATTGCGAGGTACCAACAAATTTCTTTTTCTATTGAATAAAAATGTAAATTATAAACTTTAAAGTATTAGTAAGTTGTATTAAATATTAGAGTATATCTAATTGGTATGAAATTATGAAATATGATAATCAAAATTTTATAGGAAGTGCTTAAATACGGTAAAGATGAAGGGGATATAATGGAATGTTTGATAGAACATAAAAATGAATTAGATGCTCGATCCGATTATAAATGTAAAGCTGCCGTAGAACATTTTCAATTAATATCATTGAAGAATTATCGATTTACGTACAAGTTTAAAGAAGCTTGTAAGACTTATGTTAAAATATGGTGCCCCAAGTAATTAACTCATTCTTCATAATAATCGTTAACGTGTATAATATATCCGTAATATAATAATTAATATTAATATTATTATTATCATAGATCAAAAACAAAAGCAGAAGTTATAGAATGTCTTAGTTCGATTGTACAAGCAGACATAATGAAAAATATGCAACACCGTATACCAAAAGATTGTAGGCACCAACTAAAAGCACAATTATATCAACAACGAGAAAATATACAATTTGATCCTGCATTACATACATCCTGTGAACAAGATATTAAACGACTTTGTTTTAACGTAGAGGCTGGCAACTCACAAGTAAAATTTAATTCTTGAAAACCTATTACAAAATTTTTTAAGTATACGATAATATTTTAATAATCGAATTAAATGGAAATAATTTTGTTTATGTATAGGTATTAGAATGTTTAGCATCACAAAAAACAAAATTGTCCGATTCGTGTCATAAGAAATTATTTAACGTAAGGAAACAAGAGTTTCAAGATAGTTCGAGCGATTTTGCTTTGTTAAATATTTGTCGCGGGATGTTGAGACAATTTTGCCATGATGTCAATCGTTCGGGAAGTCTTGACTGTTTGAAAAGATACAAAGATGACCCTACATTTGACGATAAATGTAAAAATATTGTTATTCGAAGAATGATCGAACAAAACACCGATTATAGATTTAATACTGCGTTACAAAGTGCATGCACGTATGATATCGACAGATACTGTAAAGGGGTAAAGTATTAATATGTATATTAAATTATTATTTTTTAAAGGTTTTAATTTAAGCAGATATAATTATATGTTTGGTTATTTTTTGGTGTAAAATAGGTTTTAATACATGAGCCAACTGATAAGGAACTCGAAGGAAAAGTTATAAAATGTTTAAAAATTAAATTCAGTGAATCTAAATTGGTGCCAAAATGTGAACAACAAATGACCGTAATACTTAGAGAAGCTGCTATGAATTATCACTTGAATCCACTGTTAGCTGCAATGTGTGCAAACGAGGTAATAGCATTGTATTTATTTATTTATTTTTATTTTCTAATCTAATGAATAATAAATCATGAACTACAATTTTGTTTAGATCAAAACTATATGCCGCAACGATAATGATCCTGGTGCTGTCGAAGAGTGTTTGAAAATCAAGTTCAATGCTGGAGGGAAAGATATGAAAGAGGAATGCAAATTAGAGATAGCAGATTTAATAGAACAAGCAAGAGCAGATATCAATGTTGATCCTATATTACAAAAAGCTTGTGCAATTGATGTTAGTAAATATTGCAGTGACATTCCACAAGGGGCAGGAAGACGTAAGTCAGATAAAATGATAAGAAAAATGTAGTAGAATTATGACAGCGATAGTTATAATAGAAATTTGAATTTTTTTAGATATCATGTGCCTGCAATATGTTTTAAATGACAGTAATAAATCTTTAGAACCAGATTGTTATAAAATGTTGACAACGAGAATGGAAATGTTCAGAAATGCTGCTAAGGTATATATTATTATTATTTTAATTATACTTTATATTATATAAATGTAAGATCAAGCACCTTCATTCCAAGTAAAGTAGGCATTTGTGAGGAAATTGAGCGATAAAAATATATTATAAATGAATATATTTAAATTAGAATGAAAATATCTCATTATTAACTATTAATCATTTTAATATATAACTTCTCTGTTATTTGTAGTTAATCGCTCCTAATAGTATAGAAGAATTATACACGTCTCTAAACCGATCTCCCGCAAGAAGATACTTCATGATAATAGCAATTACACTTGTTGGAATTATCTTTATCATTGGTATGTTCTGTGGAGGGGTAACAAGAAGAACAATGCTTATGAAAAATAAGTGATATATTCAAATTGGGCTTATCCGTCCACCCAAAAAAAAAGAAAAAGAAACATTTCCGTATAATTATAAGTTAACTTCAAAAATAAGAAAATATTGCGGTATTTAAATTTTTGAGCTGTGATCATTTGTCACACATTTTTTTATTATTAACTTATTGAAAAAATTATCAAAAACTATCACGTTAATCTAAATATTAATCTTTTATAGTTTTCTTTATTATGTGTATAAATATAAATAAATATTTATGATCTTGTGCGATGTATATAAACACACATACACACAATTGTAAAATTAATTTTTTTATGTCATAAAGAAAAAAGAAGACGGAAAAGAAAAATGCTATCATATGTATAAAAGAAAGTTATGAGATGTCAATGTTACAACGTGTTTACAAGGAAATTTAAGTATATTAGGGTTTAATAACTGCCGGAAATATTATTAAATGATGTCTTGGATGAAATTTATTTCTAATGTCGGTTTTTCTACGTATTTGTAAGATATATACACAAAAATTCATGAAAAGAAGGAATAAAAAATGTTTATCTCTTATTTCAAATTAAACAATTAAATTCTTACACCTGGAAACAACTTACATTTGTCTTCCATTTTATCAAATTGACAATAATGCAATATTTGAGAATATATTATATTTAATTGTTATAAATATTGTCTATGCAACATTTTTTAAATTCAAATCATAAATGTATGCAAATTATATTAATTTTAATTTTTTGTCAATAGAATTCAATGAATATTAGTCATGTAAAGAATCAAAATAGGAGTCAAAATTAATTATCGTTGCAATAACTTGATTTTGTATAAAACCTATCAAAACATATATATATATATGTATCAGACATTTTAAATTATGTTAAACTTATATAAATATCCTCTTAATAATCCTGAAAGAATAAAATTTAATTTTAAGAATGTAATAAATTAGTTCTTACAATTAGATGATACAAATGTACCGCCATTGCGTAACTACTTGAATCAAAGACTTTATTGAACATAGTTTACGAGAAAATTTCAAAATACTGTTAAAGACATCAGAGCTTGTAGCGAAGGTCACAATCACGCACAAGGGATATATATACATGAATAATGATGGTCGCGGTGTGGTTTTATTACGATTCTAATTCCAGTGATAGCCCTCAATCTTTGAGTTTGTATGGCAAAGTCGTGTGATCAAGGTTATTGTTTGAGTTACGCGCCGCATGGTGGCATTGCGGTCAGTGGCGTAAAAACGAAGCCAAAGGAACGTAACGTTATGAACGAGAGAGAGAGAGAGAGAGAGTGAGAAAGGGAAAGAGACGGGTAGTTTGCGAGGGTGGTGCGGAAAAGAGTAAAGAGGGACGATGAAAGCGGCGATACTATAGAAAACGGTGAATACGCGAGTCTGGTGGATACATTGAACATTGCGAGTTAACCTGTGCCAAGTAGCCTCTAGTAGTTCGTCTGTTTACTATCTTATTTTCCGCTTTTAACGTATCGATACGACGTTCGACATTTGACTCGTTCGAATGAAAAAGATAATTTCTTAACTTCGTGATCCGAAAAGTAAACCGCTTCCTTGCTTTCTCCTTCTTAACTTCGATCGTTGTTTCGTTTACCGTTGAAGGACATTATTGGGACATATGCGAGGAGAATAGTTGATAGAGAAAGCGATAACTGTTGAGAGAAAGAAAGTTATGCGAATGAAATCGCAATGAATCGTCGTTAGGGAGTTCGCGATAGGTGTGGCGCGTAAAAAAAGGCGCGCTGTAAAGTGGTGTGCGCGCGCGAGCGTGTACCCGGTATTTTCTGACTGTAGTAGAATAGTAGTAGTAGTGTAGTAATAGAGTAGTATAGTAATAGTAGTGGTATAGTAATAAGTAGTAAGAAGGTTGACGAGCGAGTGTCTCTTCTGCTAGTATATACATACATATATGTATTGGAAAATGAAGTCGGAACGTCAAAAGAGATTTTTATCGAGTACTTGGCACGATAGGAGATTGGTGTCGATTTGGCGGCTTTCGAATTGAGTATTGTTATTATTATTATTATTATTATTATTATTATTATTTTATTATCATAAAGAAAAGTAAGATAGAAAGAGAAAGAGAAGGAAAAATTATTTTACGAGTTTTTCGTCATACGGACGTCATATAAAGAGGAGAGAAAAGGAAAAGCGAGAAAGAAAAAAATAGAGAGAGAGAGAGAGGGACAACGACAGTGCAAAAGAGGAAAAGAAATTAAAGGAAAAGTGAAGGCGGAGGGATCGGCGGCGGAGCACCGTGTGCCGTTGCAGCACAGCGTGTGCGTGCGTCCGTGCCTATGCGTCCAAGTCCGCCGTGCCGCGGTGATCTTCGCAGTGGCTGCGGCCGCAGTGGTGGTGGTGGTGGCGGCGTTTGCGACGACGGTGGTGGTGGTGGCAGCGACGGCGACGGCGACGGTGACGGCGGCGGCGGAGGAGGCGGCGACGGTGACGGTAAAAGGGAAGGAGTGGAGGTGCTGGCGACGACGGTGACGGGTCGGTGGTGGTGGAGGGGGAGGAGGTTCGTCGTCGTCGTCGTCGTCGTTGTCGTTGGTAGTAGTGGTGGTGGTGGTGACGGTGGTGGTAGTGGTGGTGATAGTAATAGTAATAGTAGTAGTGGTGGTAGCAGTGTTGTTGGTGGAAGGAGAAGGGAATCGCCGTGTCGGTTTGTCGCTCTTGAGTTAGCGCGTGTGCGTGCATCGTGCGCGCGTACGCCGCTCTCCTTTGAGGCTTGCGCGCGAGCGCGCGAGCGCGTGTGTCCGTGCTATCCCCCCGCGCGCGCATCCAAGGAATTCACGATCGAGCAACACGGAGGGACTCCCAGCAAATGTTTAAATGGACGCATCGTCCATTATCACCCAAGTGTCGCGGGATGACGAGCTAGGCCAGTTTAATAACGAGAAAGGTAGGTAAACATAACGAATACTGCTCCCAATCCTACGCCTTTTTCTACATTTTTCTTCCAGATGCTGGATGGAATCTGCACCTGTTACGGGACTGCACCGCGCCTCTCCTCACCTTGTCTCTCCTAAACTTTGCTTCGGTCCTCTTTTACCTACTCCCCTTTCCCGCTCTCTCTCTTTCTCGTTCTTTCCTCCCCGTTCCCCCCTACTCCTTCGTTTCCTCCATTACTCGTCTCACGGTTTGCTTTCCTTCTTCATTCTATGTATCTATGTCTGTCTTTCTCTTTCTCTTTCTCTTTCTGTGTCTCGTTCTCGTTCTCTTTCTCTTTCTTCCTCGTCTCTACTCCTCCATCATCACGCCCCGCGTTTTTGCCTGGCCTCGCCTCGTAGTCGAACCGTGTTTCTACTCGTTGCCCCCCTTTCCATCTCTTTTCCTTCTCCAACTCGACTCGTTTCTCTGTTCCGTGCCTATATCTTACCTTGTCGCTGTTTTAATTTACGAACCTCCTAGCATTCGTGTCACTAATGCTATCTTCGTCCTACTATGTGTGCGATGACGAAGATGTTTGTCGTTGTTACATGTTCGTATAAGACATTCTTATGAATGTTAATGATTCCACAAAATTTATCCTACTTTTATGCTTTATTTTGTTGATACATCATTTTCTATACGCTTCTAAAAGCAACTTAAGTTTTATAATGTAAGAGTTAGACGTTTTTCTCTTTCCTTTTTTGTATAATAGTTTTGTTGAGGAACTTAAATAATAACGATCAATTTAACGAAGTTTAGATGTTTTGTGTTYTRAATATTAATAATAAAAAGAAAAATGTATGTCTACTCAATGAAAAAAGACGCTGAACTGTAAAGATTAAGTTGCTGAAGAAGTCCCAATAAAGGGACGAAACGTCCAACTAAATCAAACATAGTTCTACTTCTTTCATGTCCAAGTTCCCTGTTAAATTTCATCATTAAAAATTATTAATAAGGTTAAGATATTATTTCTTTTTTATTTAATACAGTCCAATTACCACGAGAGAATGAAGCGGCTAGCAACGGTCCCACAGGTGGCAAGAAACCAAGAGGACGTGGACTCTTGCGTTCTCTACTATGTTGCCTTGGTAGAGGACGAGGAAGTAGTTCTAAAAGTTCCAAAACAAGTTCGCTACAAGGAGATGGACGAGGTTCGCCACCACCAGGAACTGGGTCCCCACGGTATCTTTTACCGCCTGTCAGACACCAGGATATGCATAAAAAGTGCATGGTGATCGATTTGGATGAGACACTTGTGCACAGTTCTTTCAAACCGATCAACAATGCGGATTTTGTTGTTCCTGTAGAAATTGATGGAACAGTACACCAAGTGTATGTCTTAAAGAGGCCTTATGTCGATGAATTTTTGCAGAGGATGGGAGAACTATACGAATGTGTATTGTTCACAGCAAGTTTAGCTAAGGTATTTACAGATTTCTTTATTTAACAATCAAAATATACAACTATTTGATTGATATGTTATTAGACATATATATAATGTACATCTATGTTTATTTGTGCAGTATGCTGATCCTGTAGCTGATCTACTAGACAGGTGGGGAGTGTTTAGAGCAAGATTATTCAGAGAGTCGTGTGTTTTTCATAGAGGGAATTATGTTAAAGATTTAAATAAGCTGGGAAGAGATCTACAACAAATAATTATTGTCGATAACAGCCCTGCTAGTTATATCTTTCATCCAGATAATGCGGTAAATATTAATTTACACTCTTTAAATACCAAACTTAAAGAATACACAGTTGTAAGATGTTGAGAATAAACTTGATTTTTAGGTTCCAGTGACATCCTGGTTTGATGACATGACGGACTCAGAACTATTAGATTTAATTCCATTCTTCGAGAAACTTAGTAGCGTGGAGAACATTTATACAGTTTTGTGCAACAGCAACCATCCATATAATCAAGTATCAACAACGATACAAAACAGTCCCAGTCCTGGATCAGGTTCGCTTGGTGCTTCCTAGCCCCACCTATGTTCTGGTCAAGTGACCAGTCTTGTTATCACTCGATGTGCATTAAGGAGAATCTTAACTGATTTGTCCAATGCTAACCACTTATTGTGCTGCGATGGATAATCGGGTATGCTTAGTTAGATATTTTATCTAAGGCCAAAAGTATACCCGTATTATTAGTTTCTGGGTGAATAAGATTTCTGCGTATCGTTTCCCTGTTATATATAATAATAGTGCAACATTAATTGCACTTCGCTTTATCGTTGCCTTCGATTTTTCTTCCTAATAAAAACAAGCAGCAACGCGATGGAGAAGAACTAACGTTTACAAAAAAAGAAGAAAGGAAATAGAAACAAACAAAAACAAAAAAGAAAGAAAGAAAGAAATAGATAGAGACGACGAAATAATGATAAAATGATTTTTATTTTTAAATAATAGGCACACCAATCGGCGGCGCTCATTCTGTTACATTTTAATTCATTCAAAACGGGTTTTGTTTTAAACGTGATAGAATTTTTTTCCCAACGATCATCGAACAAAAATAAGAAATCGATAAATGCTTCGGTATGATTAGTTAACCCTTTGACTGTGGTGCATTCTCGCACGAAACCGTCGATATTTATATGAGGTGCGATATTCGTATGTCAGTCGCTGTGTGACTGACTCTCGCACATCGTTATGCTCATTTATTTATCCTTTTCTATAGAGGACGTACGTATATGTACGTCTTTCGTAGTCAAAGGATTAACTCAATGTACGTACGCAAATGCGTGATTTATATCTTTGATACTGATTAAAGTGAAGAGAGAAAGAAAGGAAGGAAGAAAAAAACAAAAAAAGAAAAGAAAAGGACAGAAGAGAAAATAATAACGAATGATATATTTCTTGTTGAATTAGTACACGCAAATTTTGTGCTATTGCATGATCTTTACTTGCTGAATACCTCAATGGATAATCTTAAAAAGTGAATTTAATCCTGAATATAAGTCGCACAGAGAGAGAGTCATACGAGAAATCATTAATTAATTAAAAAGTATGAGTCGTTTGACGGGTCGTTCGATGTTATACCTTTTTATTTATTTATTTATGTATTTTTTTGAAATTCATTTTATTTGGACCAATCAGTTAATAGATTATGCATTTCATTTGCTGGCATATTAAAAAAAAGATTATATCGCGTTAAAACTTCGAGTCCTGTGTAAAATAAGTTCTGTTTTTTTGTTATTTTTTTTTTTTTGTTATAGCATTTCTCATAGGATCGATGATAATGAAAAATAATATTTACAATTGTTACTTGACGTAATATTGAGAATGTTTGTAAAAAAAAGAAGAAAACCAGAAAAGAAAAAAAATATCCAAAAGGCTGGCAACTTAAAATGATGATCGGAATTTGTTTTCTAATCATTTTGAGATATATCTTCCTTGTATTTTAAATGGTGAATTTTAATATTAATAATAATAATAATATTTTAGACTAGGCTATTAATATTTTCATGATTTGCCGGTACGATTGACTCTTTCTTTTTTTTTTTTTTTTTTTTTTTTTAAGGGAGGTGTGCCAGATAGTGAGAGTCAACTAATTTAATTACAAAAAAATGATATATATATGTATGTACATATGTATATATATGTGTATATATATATATATATCAATTTAAAGAGACCGAGCCAAAATGCATATCATTCTCTCCCTCCAAGCGCAATCGTACGGATAATACAATAATAATAATAATAATTAAACAAAAAATCTTATGTTAAATGAATAATTATAATAACATCATGGTTAATGAATTAGGTTTATATAGACATAGAAATTCCTTTGATAGGGGTTGGTAGAAAAAAACAATACGTGTAAGTATGTAGCTGTATTCACACTAACAGTGATTGACGATTGATTTTTTTGCACGCTTTTTATCGTATATATACATACATAAATGCATTATTATGTAATGTACAGATTGCGCATTACGTTGATATATAATCGACCTTATTATCATTGCTTATAATTTTTATTCTCGTTATAATTATGATTTTATTATGTTATATTTTTTCTCCTCCACCTTTTCAAACCTTTGCCATCCCCTACCCCTTACCCCACTTTCTCATGATTTTCATCTGTCCATCTTCTCATAGTTGTTACATTAATGTTATTATATTATTGTCATTTTGTGATTACTTTTATTAATGCTATTATTATTATTATCATTGTCTAATTCATCCTTCATGTGACTGGTCCACATTTGATTAAAGTATTATATATATATATATATATATATCTATATATATTGTTTATAATGTTCTATATTTGTTGCCGTCACACGAATGTTTTCTCATCGATCGATATTTTTGTACCTTAACCATTTATTACAAATTCATAATTTTATTATTATCAAGGAAAGAAAGAAAGAAAAAAGATCAATCAATCAATCAATCAAACGTATACAGAAAGTTTAAACACGACAAATTTGTTTTTATTAATTTGTTGCATTTTTCATTATAGAAAAAAAAAATATATAAAAATTGTATATTTTCCATATATTTATATATAAATATACACTGTATGTAATAATATCTTTTAAAATTTAATAATATTAACTTTTTGTTAATAATTCGAGAAAAAAATTTCGAAACAATCAATATTCCATAAACAAATTGTAAAAAGGAAAGAAAAATTAAAAAAGTATTTTAAATAAAATAGTGTATGGTGAGATTTTTATTTTGATTTATTTTGTTTCTTTTTTTTTTACGTAATTATGAACGACTTATTTTGTTTATATAGGTGTAGAAAGTTATGTAAACAGATTAAAATAATAATATGTATATTCATGAACGCATTACATACAGTGTTTAAAAATCATCTAACATCGCTATATAAAAATAATTCGCTGATACATTTTACTTGTGCAATTTATTCTTATTATTTTTTTAACAAAACTTTTTTCCAAATTTATCAACAATCTCTTAACGTAATAAAATAATTCGAGCGAAGAATTTTTTACGATAAAGATATAAAATATTGAAATGAAAGTGTGCGCGTGTGTATATGTGGTTTAACATAAGTAAAAAATAATAAATAAAATTATTCTGTTAGGTAATTCGCGTATGGTAATGACCTAATTACACGCGAATTACGTAATAAATTTATCTTTTCTATTTAATTTTTTTATTTAGATTACCTTTTATAGTGTATAATTATATTATAAAAGATCACGAAAGGTAGAACAAGCTTTTACAAAATTAGAAATGTTTTTTTATTCGCATATAAGGACGTATATACTTGGATAATAATAATAACAACACACACACACACATAGCCATATACACACAACCTTCAATAATAAGCGAAGCTTAAAAGAAATAGTATAGGCTGTTATAAGTGGATTCGTTTTCATTCTGTTATGCATTTGCCCTTATAGTAAATTATAAGAGGATTCAATCGTATTAATGTTAATAATGCAATAAGTACTTGAAAAAATATATAGACGGAAAGATTGTTATAAATTGTAATTCTTTTAAACAAGTATGGTCAAATCTGTTTGTTATATTGAAAAGATAATTGAACAAATATAAATTTAAAATTATCGTAAATTATACTTCTTTTAAGCTCGTATAATCTTAAATCTTTTTCTATATTTATCAATTAAACCTTCCTAACAATATAAAATGAATTATTTAAAAGAGACGGGAATTTTTGTAAACACATCTTTCACTCCATTATTTTAATTATTTCTATGACAATTTTTTTTAAACATTAATTAAATCATCCGTATATAATAAAATAGTACAAATGAATAAAAAAATCTTCTTCAGGTTCTTAAGAGAATATTTTGCACGATCGAAAGATGTATGAGTTTGATATAATTTTTAATATATTTGGAATGTGATATTCATGTTATTATTATTAATTATATGATTTGCGTTGTGCGGCAAAATAGAACGAGATACCGTGAAACACTTGTACTTACAATTAGTTAAAAGGAAAGAAGAATATTTTCTTTCTGTAATGTTCAAGAGAAAGATAGAGAATGGAATACTTTAAATGTATTACGCAAAAGAGAGAGAAAGAACAATCCTTTCGCACTTCCATTGAGGCTTTTATATTTACTTTGAATATATATGCTGCGATTAAGTTATACATATATGTATATGTATATATTTTTATATACACACATATATGCTAGAACAATTTTTTAAAATTCACGACTTTTTCTAATGTTTTTTTTTTTTATTAATAAATTTCATTCTTCAATGGGAACACATTGTTAAAAGAAAGGTCGCGAATTTTTTACGTTGTCCTGGTATATACAATATTTACATATATGTGTATACATGTTTTTTTTCTTACTTTTTCTATATTACGTATAAACACGCAGAAAACGAGAGAGAAAGAGAGAGAGAGAGAGAGAGAGAGAGAGAAAGAGAGAAATAAAATGAATGAATGAATGAAAGTGAGAAAGAAAGAAAGAGATGAATATATAAATGTATATACAGTATAAATGCAAATGATGAAAACAAAAAATAATTGTATTTTGTGAACAAATCTTGTAAAAATCGTTTCTCTGTCTCGCGAACTATCAACTCTCTGTTTCTTTTTAAATCGCAAAGTATTGTTTTTAATTTAAGCAAACGGGAAGAAGAAATTTATTATTTTTTCGTTATGTTATATATATATATTTTCCTCTTTTGGATGTTAATTTTATTTCTTTTTTTTTTATATAGTCCCTCTTTATATTCTTTATTATTATATTATATTTTTATTGTTTATAATTTTAATGTGAGATTCGATGTCTCGTATTTGCGTATGGGAAAGATAAAAAACTCTATTCTCGTGAAGAAGATATCGATAGCCTCGTATCCCATAACGCCCAGCCAAACGACTCTATAGAAAGCCAATACACGTACACACATCATGCATAGATCTTGTAACGGAAATATCGCATATATTTTCATCGATATATGCGTTATATACATATGTAAAATAGAGCAAATAGAAAAAGAGAGCCAATTTATTTGAATTCATACAAACACACATATATACACAAATACACGACACATCAGCGTAATTATCTAAATGGAACTTTTAATCTGCGCGATACGTTTTACAATTATTGTACTTCTTTAATATATGTATATATATATATATATATATATATATGTATATGTATATGTATATGTATATGTGTGTATATATATGCCAAAAGAGAATGCGAGGTGTTTAATATTTTAAAAAAAATATTCAATACGATATTTTCCAACGATACAAATAATATACATATGTGTATATATATATGTATACATATGTGTATATACTATAAAAGAATAGAAGAAAAATCATAAGAAAAAAATTACAAAAAAAGAAATAAAATAAAATAAGAAGAAAGAAAAGATAAACAACTGTACAAATATGTAGCAAATACCTGATGAACTCGTCTTTTTTACGTTAATTGATATATCGAATAAGTGTCGTCGAAAGCTTCGAAGACAAATTTTATATATCTTCTATGTCTCCCATCACATCCTATAAGAGAAGAAAAATAATAAAAAAAAATAAAATAATAAAATAAATCAATAATATAAAATCAGCAGCGAAGCACTCAGAATTGCGTACTTTTCGTATGAAAACGAATTCCTTATTGAATTCAATTTAATTGAAGAAAAAATATAGATAACAAAAGATTGAAATAAATAAATAAATAATTAAAGCGTTTTTAGACGCGAAGTTTGTGCTTCCGTAAATAAATACAAAAAATGAATTGCAACTGGCAATTGTGAAATAGCACACATGCGAATTTTTTCATTAAAAATAAAAAAAGTAAATAAATACTTTATTGCCAGTAATTTTACAATTTTACTATCATCTTGCATCTCTATAAACATATAAATAATAATAAACATATAAATATATGTATGTATGTATGTATGTGTATATATATACATATATTGATTCCTTAGTTGGAATGTGAAACGAAATAAGAGAATAAACAAAAAATTTTTACTCATTTTTACCAGATATTTGATCATGTAACATATTTGTAACATGTTGGAGTAAAACAAGAGTTTTCCCGACGTATTATACCACGAGTATGTATGTAATTATATTATAAACGAACATTATTAGTTTGCGCGCGAATATTTCGAAGAATACTTGAATACTTTGATTATATCACAAATGTTTAAGTAATACGAGCGCGGAGAAAATTATATGCCATTAATTCGAAAAAAAAAAAATGAATATATATTTACGTGTATATACGAAAAAGCCAATGATTATGATAGTGATCTAATTGTAAGCCAGAATTTGAATTATTTGTAAAAATTCATAAGAATCTAAATATGAATTACTTAAAATGAACTGAACAATTTAATTGCTCGAGGTGAATGATCTCCACAAAAAATATAGGTTTTTTTTTTATGACAATAATAAACTACCTTAGTAGATTTGTTCTTGAAGAATAATATTTTTCATATATATGTAATATTTTAAAATTTTAAAAAAAGCTTCTTACAAAACACGTTTTTTGATATCTTAAATGGTTTATTGTTAGATCACTACTCATATATATCTATATATTATATCAACGATTATTCTGACATGTTACGAGATAGTCGAATTATCTGTTATCGCGATCTTCATCATAATATCATGTCTGTGTATCGTTTTTCTTGATAAGCCTTTTAAACATAGATCGCGTAACGTCTTACGAAATATTTTTTATATCTCGATAGTCTTTGTCTCTCCCTCTCCCTCTTTCTCTCTCTCTCTCTTTCTCTCTCTCTCTCTCTTTCTCTCTCTCTCTCTCTTTCTTGTCTTATCGGTGTAATATTTTATTAAAAAAAAAAAATTTTACCAAACGAAAAAATAACGAAGGATGTAATATTTTCATGAATTTTGTTTTCCTTTTGCACGAGGAAGCACAACAATCTAACGCAAATAATGAAATAATTTATCTGTAATTCGCGTTGGCTTAGAATAAAAAAAAAAATGCTTCAAATAATAATTTTCGTTTATTCATATTTAACGAAAAATTAAAACAACAATGACGACAAAAACTTGCTTTACGTTGCTAAACGTATCGATAGATTGTTTGAGAGAGATAAAAATAGTCGAAGTTATATTAAAGCCAATAATTTTCTCCATGCTTAAGCGTTATTTCGAGAAGAGGCACACGGGCTTACGCGTAAACGTGTGTTAATAAAAATGAATCGATATAACATTGTGTAAAAAGAATTAGAAAAAAAGAAGAATATTATATAAAAAGAAAAAAAAAAAGAGATGAAATGTGAAAAACGAAAGGAGATACGTGGACGTTTGTGACGTAGAGTGTGATGGTGTGTGTTGTATTGTGGTGTGGTGTGATGTGATATGATGTGGCCACGTGCATGTGTTTAGAAAAAGGAAAAAAAAAAAATAAAAATTAATAAAAAAGAAAAATAAGAAGAATCAATTGCAATGAAAAAAAAATATCGCGTACGGATTTTAGGAGTCCGTTAATTAATAAATTCGTAACTTTTTATATACGCTGAACTACTTTTCGTAAGAAAAATCGCAATGACATACACACATACACGCATATACATACATAATATATACACACACACGCGCGCGTATACAAAGCAAGGTCTCCAAATATGGCGCTTACGCTTTTTTGCGCCTTTAAATATCTTATAATTATATATATATATATATATTGCTATGTACTGTACAAAATTGTCATAAAGGAGAAGAAAAGAGAAAGAAAAAAAAGCAAACAAACAAACAACAAGGAATTTTTAAACGAAATCATAGCGTTGTGTTTTAAATGCGATAAGAGTGAGAAAGAAAAAAGAGAAATATATATAAATATAAATATAAATATAAATATATTATATATATATGAACACACACACAAAAAAACATACACAGAATACGAATATATACATACACAGCCATACATGAATATTGAATGAGAGTTAAAGAGAAAGATAGAGTGAGATAGAGAGAATAAGATGAGAGTGAAAGCGTATACGTGCACGAGTGTATGAATGTGTGTATTGTGCAAGGGGTGGGTAGCGATGAAAGTGGGGTAAAAATAGAAGATTAAAAAAATTAAAGTAAACAAACAAATAAAGCGAGAGAATGAGCAAAATGGAAAATAAATAAATACAGAAAAAGTAAAAAAAAAAAAAAAAAGAAATCACGCGCAGAGTGAAAGATATGTGTATGCATGTAAACAAGATTAACAATAATGCCTTGATTTGTAAATAAAACTTCATCACTTCCACTAATAACACATTTATCTCTACAGACTCAGCCGTTCCCGATTTACGTAGCTCTCATTAAACAAATATTTCGAACAAAGAAATAAAAAGCGAATAAAAATGAACTATAATAAAAATAAATAAACAAATAAGATCCGCCTAGACTGATAGAGATTAAAAATAATGTTTCCTGCGTCAGAGGTTTCTCTGTGAATTATTTTTACTTAATAAATAAATAAATAAATAGAAAAGAAACAAAAAATTGCAAGAAAGATTTTTGTGTATACGAGGGTTGGTTGAAATGTTTTGAGTCTCGACAAAAAACCCTTAATTTTTATTTCTTAAATAAAGGTATGCTCGTATATTTGTGATAAAATTTTCAAGTTACGAGAATCATTCTTGCAGTGACCCCGTACGATACGTGCAAATATATATGTTTTTAAGTGTGTATATAAAACGCGCGCGTGTCTCTATTCTGATTCAAATGACGTGGTATTTAGGTCGAGCTGCTCGATCGTACACGATTACTCTCGATATTGGATTTCCGTGGGTAGTTCTCTTGAAATAAAATGTCATCAGTGACGTCCGCCTACTGTATTAACGATAACTCAAATATTTACCATTTAAAGCGGTTAAATATGGTTGAATGCGTTTCATTCACCGAGAAGTTCTTTCATCATTTAATCTTATATAGTAAACAATATATAGGTCATTAATACTGACTCACTATATATACATATAATATAAATATTATATACAATGTGAAAAGGAAGATACATGCATTTGAACTCGTTTTATTTTTATTTCGTGCGTCTAAAAAAAAACAGGTGAGTGAAATCAAACAATATTATTAAATGCACGTTCACATTCGACCATTCAAATTTCGCGGTAACAAATGGCGGACGTGCGCCATCTCGCTTCACGCACAACGATATCTTTATCTTAGAAATTCTTTTAACTACGTCGTATTAAAATCCTTCATAACTCTTCGATCGGGCGAATATTTTTTTGTCAAACTAATCGAAATCATAAATATTTATATAAACGGTTAATAATAAATATAAAGTTTTTTAAGTACCGTTTCAAAAACATCGCGTATAATTATAAAAATGATATTTTCTATGAAAAAGTAAAGGAGGACATTTTGTTTTTTTTTCTATGGAAGGAGCGAGAAGAAGGAGAAGGATTTTCTTGTAGTTCATTTTCTTTTTACTTCATATCTTGGAATATAATCTATTTATCAAAAGCCCAAAAAGAAAAAGTGTATCTAGTTAATGTGTTCTACGCTAGAGTTCGATGCAAGGATTACAATTTGAAACATGGCTCAATAACGCGCCACTACTTTTCTCTGATCACAGATCGTCTGTAACACACATCCGACGACCGCGCGTCGAAATTTCAAATGTTGCTTACACTAATCCAGACGAAATGTCGCGTGTAATGAGTTATATCACAAAAAGTGACATTATATTAAAATTAAATATAACAACGCCGAACAATAAAGAGTTAACGCCCTGGTTAATTGTCAAAAATGGCTAACCATTGAAATAGTATTTTTTGTTGAATATTAATTTAGAAATAATAAACGACAAGAAAGAGAAAAAGAGAGAAAAATAGAGAGAGAGAGAGAGAGAGAAAGAGAGAGATAGAGATAGAAAAAGAAACTTTATTATTCTCAGTGAATATATTTAATCTTAAAAATTAACGTGTGTACGTTTAATAATTGATATAATGCCGCGTATAAAAGCATCGCCGAAAAAATATGTTAAAACGAATAACTTGAATTCGACTACCAACACTTGGGTCTTTCTTATGAAAGGTTAGTTCAAGTAAATAATATTATTATGTATTACGGTTTCTTCCCACCCCCCTTGTATGTTGTTTTTTTTAAATTAGGAGTAAAATAATGTTTAAATTGAGCACAAATTATATAAGATTTTGTTACTTTGTCATATATTTTAGGAGATAGTTTAGAGGGCAAAGATGGAAATTTGCCAAATGTAGTCAAACTTAGACACCCTGCGTCAAGTCAGCCAGCTATGTTTGTCTTCAGCCCTGGTGATCTTACTGTACAAGAGGTTTTAGCATTTGATGAAAACAAAAGGTCGTGGTTTATAGATGATAATGTTAAGTCTGATGGAAAAATGCATCTCTCCACTCCTATCGATCCAATCTTTCTAGTTTTACCATATCTAAGAAAGGTAATTTTATTGAGGAGATAAGAATTAAGTAGGAATATAATTTTTTACTAATTAGTTATTATATTATATTATATGTATGTTATTTTAGTCACTGCAAATACAACCTCTTGACCAATGTTTATGGGATGAGGATTATCCAGAAACGCCTCGCTTAGCTCATTGCCAGAACTTAAAGTTGTCTTTGGTTGCTGATCGTAAAGGCGATGAATCTCTTCAAGCTTTCAAGTACAACGAGGAAAAAACATTAAATTGGTTGAAAAAGAAAGTAGAGAGAGTAGCTGAAGTCTTAAAACAAAAAAGTATTCATGTATCACAGGGCGCTTTAAGTGCTACCTATGTTAAAAGTACTAAATATGAAAGTGGTACTGATTTAGGTAGGAACTTTCTTCATTTAATAAAAAAAGAACCATAAGAAAGGAATGAATGAACGAATTTATTTACAAATTTCTTTGATATTTCAGAATATTTGAAATATGCACATGGTATAGTATCCGAATATTTGGCTGATGACATAGCAAAAAAATTAGCACAATATTTAAATATACCAGATGAAGTAGAAAAAAAGCGTAAATTGATTAGTCCCAAAGAAGTATCGGAAGAAAAGAAATTCAAAAGAGATACTTCAGAAGAAGATGTAACTCCACGTACCAAAGCTTTGGATTTGTCTAAACCAGAAAAGGTTTGTTATCAATGAAAATAGGTTTCTGTATATTTAATGTATATATATGCATAATTTATTATTTATATATTACTTTAGCCTCCGAAAAATCCAGCTATAAGTAAGAAGGAACTCTCTAGACAAAAAGCAGCCATTGGATCTAAAAGTATTACTAGCTTTTTTAAAAAAAAATGAATTATACTAGGTTACATATTATAAATAATTTGAGACTGTAATAATAGGTTATATAGTACTTGCATTCCTATCAAAGTTATTCCTAAAACTTATAAAACTGCTAAGCCAGGATGTTATTATATAATCTATTTTATAATGCGTACCGTAATCATTATTTTCCTGTAACATTGTCTTATTATCAATAGTTACATATCTATATTTTAAATTGTTGGAGACTGGTTGTATAAAACTATTGTTAGCGATTTTAAAAACAATTCTTGTTTTTATAATGTAATGTAAATGATGTGTAATATTTTTTAAAGCAACAGAATGGAAAAAAACATATTGTAATTTCAATCATTGTTTTCTATTGAAATTATTTATAACGATATATGTATATTGTAAAACAAAGCAATATCTTTCTATAACTCCTTCCGAATGTATAGGCTCTGTAATCAACTAATACCAATTATGAATTAAAAATGTCTTTTAATCTACGACTACATCTAATAATTGTTTCTCAACAATATTTCATAATAACTCGTTATACTAAAATTTTTAATATTGTAAGCTATTTTTTGCCTATCAAGATTTTGATAGATCATTTTTTAGAGATTTAAATACGTGTTATTTTTAATGTGATGTCACAAATATTTGAATTTTTTAAATAATTCTTTTAACAAAAATTCTATATTAAAGATAAAAAATAAATATTTATTATTATATAAATTTTATTATGTTAATAAATTTTTACACAGTGTTTATTAAATTTATTGTAATATCAGATAAAATTAATCTAATCTTGATATGACATAGTTTCTACCTCTACCCCCTTCATAGGCTCTGTAGTAGGTTCAGTCATTTCTACGTCTCTGCATTTTGCATTTTGTAATTCTCTTCGTATTTCAGGTGTAATAGTATGATGCGACTGTTTTTTTAATAAATTTAACAAGGCTTCTTTTTGTTCTGAACTTATGTCACTTTTGTAACGTTGTACGAAGGTCAAAAATGCTTGATGCCATAGTACTGGTAATTCTCTTTTATCCCTTTCAAATCTGAAGTATGATTTTATAAATATTTAGCATTAGGTAATTTAATATCGTTTATTTAATATATAATTTATTACTAATAATAATACTTTACCTTAAAAAGTGAAACACGAGACCATCTACTACTCTGTAGGGAAGTGCATATTTTTTGTCTAAAAATATTCTCAGAAAAATACTGTTAGCACCGGTATAATCCATTTCTGCGATTTTTAACATCGCAGCAGACGAATGTAACATTGGAATAGAATTTTTAGCTATCACCGAGCTGATAATAACTGCTTCTCTTAGCGTACATGTACCAGATTCTAAAAGAGGAAGTAATATTCCTTTCATAAAGCCAGCGGGCTTAAACAAGGCTTTTCTCAATGCCTGATACAAATGAAAATTAAGTTTTTTGTATTCTGCTAAATCATCTCTAATACGTGGTAAGAGAACGAGATTAAAAAATCTTTGAGCCATTTTTTCTTTAAGATTGGATGCGAAGATTCTTGTTGCTTGATACATGGCTGCGGCAGACCACCTAGGTGGTTCAGTGATGTAAAGAATTTGTTCCCAGTTTCTTAAAGTCGGAATTATTTTAAAAGCTTTTGGCAATTTACCGCTACGATATTTAGCCAATACGTCTCTGACTCCTTGATACATTACTTTAACTCTTGGATCTAATTCTTGCATTTGCAAGGTACCCGCATCAGAGAATTGAGTTTCTATTTCTGTTTTCTTTTCTGTTAATTTTTCCATAATAATATCGGCTAATGTCCTCATCGGTACTGGATCTTTAGTCATAAATTTTTCCAATGCACGTTCATCTTCTTCATTGACCTCTAAGTTTCCAAAATAATAAGTATCTCCAACATCATCCTCACTGGATTCATTTTCATCATCACTAAAGTCAACACCAAGTTTTGTCAATGGTTTTTTCATAGAATTTGGTACCTGACCCTCATTGTTCTCTTCTTCAATTTCCATTTGTTGTTTCCTTGCTTGCAGCAAGATTTTTTTGGTAAGAGTAGAATCGACATACTGAAAAAATTATAAAATAAAATATTTTACACATTCTTATAATTCTTTCTTTACTAATATATACAAAATAACAAGATGCAATATAACCTCTTCATCGTCTTCATTGCGATTTCTATTTTTTTGTCTATTTTTTGTTATAACAATCTTCTCTCCTTCTATTTGCTCTGCTAATCCTACTTTGGATCTTTTTTCTCCTGCAGATACTTTAATTTTCTTAGCCTTTCCCATATTTTTATTTTATTAAAAACAAACAGGTGTAACTCGACACGAACATGTGATCCTCGAATGGTATAAATAAGGTTAGATTGGCTATTTATGTGCTACTTTACCGACCGATACCAAGTACATGAGATCCAAGCATGCGTAAGAAATATACAGTAAAATTTAGGCGGGAATAAACATTGCGATAGTTTCATGAATTGTTTATTCTAATTTACTATAAAAATTGTTTTCAAATAATAATTAAAAATATTGAAGTTTTACTTATATCATTTTAAAAATGGGACCAAAAAAAGCATCGAGAGATTATGTCAAGGATAAAGGTACATCTTAAATTATCATTAATGCCAATTAATTTCTAACCATAGAAATCTATATATTTTTATTATATGTTACTGTATACATGTATATAATATATAAAACATTTTATTAATTTTATTAATATATTTATTATCGTAGAACAACTGAAAACATTCTTAACTGAATTTATGGTTATGGATGATAAAAGTGGCGACAAAGTATTTAAGTATAGACAACAACTTACCAAACTTGCTCATCGTGAACAGATAGCTTTCATTATTGAATTAGATGATGTAAATGAGTTTGATGATGAATTGGCTCTTGCTATTACAAATAATACACGAAGATATGTTAACATTTTATTAGAAGTATGTATACAGTCTGCGATATTTCTATTTTATTTGTTATACTCTATCTGAACAATTCAACCTTTTCAGCTTGTTCAAGAAATTCTACCAGATTTTAAAGAGAAACTTGTACCACCTAAAGATGCATTGGATGTGTACATTGAACATCGGTTGTTGATAGAAACTCGTAATAGACATCCTGGTGATCAACGAGATCCTAGGAATAAATACGCTCCAGAGCTTATGCGACGTTTGTAAGTTATAAATTGTGTTTGATTTTGATATTATTATTTACTAAATTTTAATCATATTTTTACATTATATTACAGTGAAATATATTTCAAGAATTTCAATGATGCTAAAGCTTTTTCCGTTAGAGAAATAAAAGCTGATAAGATTGGAAAATTAGTAACGGTTAGAGGTATCGTTACTCGATCAACTGAAGTAAAGCCTATGATGGTCGTTGCTACTTATACTTGTGACCAATGCGGTGCAGAAACATATCAACCGGTATATTCAATAAAATTTCCTAATATTCATACTAGAATATTTTTTATTATTGTGATAATAACATTTATTCAAATTGTAGGTACAATCGCTTACTTTTATGCCGCTGAGAATGTGTCCTAGCGATGATTGTCGTGTAAATAAAGCAGGTGGCAGATTGTATATGCAAACTAAGGGATCCAAGTTTATTAAATTTCAAGAAATTAAACTGCAAGAACATGTAAGATATTTTCGTGACAATTTATATTGTTTTGATAAATAAATCAATTAATCAAATTTATTTCAGAGCGATCAAGTTCCAGTTGGTCATATTCCTAGATCGATAACAATTTTTTGCAGAGGAGAAACTACACGACAATGTTTACCAGGAGATCATGTAACCATTACAGGAATCTTTTTACCTTTAGTAAAGACTGGATTCAACCCTAGAGGTGGTTCTGCACTTTTAAGTGATACGTACTTGGATGCACATGTATGAAAATTTATTATTCATTCGATTAATGATTTTTCTCTTTTTCTGAATTTGAAAGATACTAATTTAAATTTATATTTTAGAGAATCGTGTGTTGTACAAATTCGCAAACCATAGATGACAGTAGTGCTCAGTTGACGGATGAAGAATTGGCATTATTATCGCAAGATGACTTTTATAGTAAATTGGCCACATCTTTGGCACCAGAAATTTATGGATTAGAAGACGTCAAGAAAGCTTTACTGCTGCTTCTTGTGGGTGGTACGGATAAAAAGAGGGGTGATATTAAAATCAGAGGTAAATATATTTTGTATATTAATTAATTTGTAATAAGGAGGATAATAATTTTATTTATTTTCTATAGGCAACATCAATATATGTTTGATGGGTGATCCAGGTGTCGCTAAATCTCAATTACTTTCATTTATAACACGTCTTGCACCTAGATCTCAATACACTACAGGGAGAGGATCTTCAGGTGTTGGTTTGACTGCAGCCGTTATGAAAGATCCTTTGACCGGTCAAATGATACTCGAAGGTGGAGCTTTGGTATTAGCCGATCAAGGAGTTTGTTGCATTGACGAATTTGATAAAATGGCGGAGGCTGATAGAACTGCCATACACGAAGTTATGGAACAGCAAACAATATCAATTGCAAAAGCTGGAATCATGGCACGTTTAAATGCTCGAGTATCTATTTTGGCAGCTGCTAATCCTGCTTATGGCAGATATAATTGTAAAAGAACGATCGAACAAAACATTCAGCTTCCCGCTGCTTTGTTATCGAGATTTGATTTATTGTGGCTCATTCAAGATCGTGCAGACAGAAGTAACGATTTAAAGTAATTATTCCTTTATATCCGTGTTAGTTTTTATTATTATTCGATAGCTAATTAAATTTATACGTTATATCTTATAGATTGGCACAGCACATAACTTATGTTCATCAACATTCTTCTCAACCACCTACCGAAACTGAAGCCTTAGACATGAATTTAATACGGAAATATATTAATCTATGTAAAATAAAGGAACCTTCCATTCCTGAAGAATTAGCAGAATACATTGTCGGTAAGTATTGGATAATATTTTAGAGAATAATTTATTGAACTATAAAATTGAAATATTTATAATTATAATCGTTGCAGATTCGTATGTGGAAATGAGAAGAGAGTCACGTAATAGCGTTGATCAAACTTTTACTTCTGCTCGTAATTTATTAGCGGTGCTACGATTGGCAACGGCATTAGCTCGTCTCAGATTAGCGAATGCTGTTGAAAAAGAGGACGTATCTGAAGCAAACAGATTGGTAGAAATGTCGAAGCATTCGATCAATTATTCGGAAGCCAAACCGAACAATGCTCAAAGAAATCCTATTGATAGGATCTACTATCTTATTTTGGAATTAGCTAGTGGCAATAAAACCGTTAAAGTATCAGATATATTGGAACGATGTACGAGTAAAGGATTTAAGCCTGATCAAGTGAACGAGTGCATAGAAGAATACGAAAGATTAGATGTTTGGCAAGTGAATCAAACGAGAAGACAGATTACATTCATTCAAAAAGATTAATTCAATACATCTATTTTCATACATATTCTTATCCTACCCTAACATATATCACATTGTACGAAAATTAACGCTTTTACATTTCGTAGAACGTTGATTTTCTTTTTTCTTTTTTATATAAACATAATGTGTAACAATGAAAAAATAAATTTATTTTAACATACGATACGACAGAAATTCAAATAGTAATAATTCGTATGAGCAGGGGTAGATGGCGCAAGTTGTTTAATACCTCGGAAAACTTCGGCAAAGTTCGAAAGGGTTCGGTTCGGCGGCGCGCTCTCGGCACGGGACGCTGTCGGCATGGTGGTCAGTCGCATCGAGCGATCCGCGAGGCGCGTGTCGCGTCCCCGTGCATATATGTGTGCGGGTGTGCGTGGGTCTCTCGTCAGTGTATACCGTGACTTTGATCGTGTCGTTTCTCAACGGTGGTGTAGTATTCGTCCATCATCGTCAATAGATTAGTAGTAATAAATAGCAATAAGAATAGCTCGTGTTTGTCATCGTGTCGGTGGACGTCTTTAAAGCTCGACATTAGTCGGTCGTGTATATTTGCCGACTATTGGCCGGCAATAGCCGAGGTCTTTGGCTCGGCTCGATTCGGCTCTCCGGTGTGAACGCCGCGCGTGCATGTGGTACTACTATCCGCGACACGGTGCTTTTCACGATAATCCAAATGTTGTCGTCGTCGGATGCGACTTTGGATGATCATCGTTTTCTCGATAGCGATCGTGGTCCTTCTCGTACTCGCCGACGTAGCGAGTTAATCGTCGTCGCTTGACAACGCGGTCAAATTGAGAAAGGAAGACAATTTAATTGAGAGAAAAGAAAAAAATAAGTAGAGAAAAATACGACAACGATAAATAATAAGAGAGAAGTTATAAGAGGGAGAGAAGGAGAAGGGAAAAAAAGGAGTAGAGAAGGAGGAGAAGAAGGTGAACGCTCGAGGAAGATAAAAAGAAATAAGAATTGAAGGAGAATAGGGGAGGAAGAAAATAAAATTTGTAAAAATTAAGAGAAGAGACTTAACGACGCGGCGTGTTGGCGAATTTTTAATCGCATCTGTCTCTTTCTCCTTCTTTAACTTGTTCTCGCAGAACCTCCGATTAAATAATATTCTATCTTTTTCTTCGGCTATAAGTGTAAGCTCACCGCGCGCGTCGCGGTGCCATTTTGGCAAAATGAAAATAATAACGGTGAGGAGGCAGGACGTAGGGCGTGCTTCACCGGCACCGCTTCTTCTCCTCCTCCTTGGGATTTTACTCGGCGGTTGCGTCGACGCCGTTCTATCGCGTTTACCGCGTTCCCTCGACCGTTCGAAAAATGAGACCAATTGCGATAAAGTCGCTCTCTTTTTTGAGAACGAGAACAATGTCGTTGCGAGGCTGATTACTGTCAACACGGATTCTGGGACCACATCTTCTCCTGCATCCAAGAGTAAGTCAAACATTTCTTTTTTTCTCTTACATTACACTCCTCTCATTATTTTAATTGTATTCTCGACTAGTCACGTGGTCTTTCCCAAATTCAAATGATATTAACCAATCGCGCGATTTTCTTCAAAATTCAAATTAGCCGCTTAAAATGGAATCGACATTTTTCTATCTTTTTTTTTTATCTCATTCGTTTGTTGTTATATATTCATCAATCACAACATTATTTTGTTCACAATTCAAATTATTCGCTTTAAATGTCGATTCTCATTTTGTTTCTCGTCAATCGAAAGTTTTCATTAAAACGCGATTGAGATATTGTATTATAATAGTAACTAACGTCTGTCGTTCGAGTAATGTTATACGAAATCAAAGAAAACAAAGTAAAAAGTAATATATATATATATAGATAAATGAAGAGAATCGTATGAAAGAGAAAACTCCTTGCAATACACTTGCCATTTCTGAGAATTTTCGCGACGATGATCAGCAGCTAGCAGCTCGATATATACGACCTGATGATAGACGTATAGCGCGCACGTGCTGCCAAGAAATCTTCTTTAGACTTGATACGGTACGTAGAAGATAGAAACTTGTAAATATATATATATATACTAACTTGCCATTACTTTGTTGCTATGGTCAGCTGTTATTCGCATCTAACACATTTCAATTTTATTTTATTACTTTTTCGAGAGTTTAGTTTCTTCAAGTTTTAACAGAAAATATCTTTTCCTTCATTCGATTATATATATATAATATATTACCTGCCATAAGTTTCAAATTTCTCTACGTAAATCTTCGAGAAATAAAAATTTTATGTAATTATTATACACAACACAGAATATTAATCGACAAATTTGTAAAATTATTTATCTCCAAAACGAAGTCTTTTTTACGTATACATTTTATTCTACGTTTTCGATTTATTGTTAGTTTTTTTTTTTTAAATGTAAAATCATCATTTATTCGTTTGTAATATCAGTTAAAAAAAAAACAACATGTATATTCTTTTTATAATTTTTTCTTTTCTTTTGAGAAGTTTTACCGTCAAAGTTTTACCAGAAAATGTTTTCCTTCGTTCGATTATTTATAGTTATATATATATATATATATCTTTTTTAAAGTTTTTTTTCTCTTTTTTTTTGTTTTTCGGTAGAGTAGTTATGTTCTAAAAGTTTGACCAGAAAATATGTTTTCCTTCTTACGATTATATACATGTAGGTATACTATACGTAATATTTTATCATATATTTCTGTATGTATCGTACATATAGACAGGAGTCGTGAAAATGTGAAAATTCACTCTTCGTACGGATATATCGCGACTTATCGATTGTCTTCAAGTCTATGGTACGCAACTCACGTTTATCCTCTACGTGCCTTAGGGCAAATCTAGCAAAACCTTTTCTAAAATTTATCACATTCGATTCGACCAAGATACTTCCTATTATTGTTTATTTATTATTTCCTATCTATGTTGTTTTTTTTTTTTTTAAATTAACGAAACAAAACAATTGTCCATTTCTATTATCACATGGACATATATATAAATTAAATCATACACAGATCTTAAATGAATTAAAAAAAAAAAATAAAAGAAACTAAATACGTAACTGTAATTTCGTTGTTGCTGAAACACAAAATTCTTAGGTGATTTTCATTTGAATAAATGAATTATTTATTTATTTCTAAAGATTTTTCGTTAATATTTTTTACAGTAAAAATTGTATAAATAAATATATGTAAAATGTATGTAAAATATGTATATAGATCAGATGGGTTGAAAAGTTTTGAGTTCAATATAGTGAAGAATTTTGTTTTCTCGATTAAAAATTCGCACACGCATACACACATACAATTTTAAAATAAAACTTTTCTATTTATTTATCGATGCACAAAACTTTTCAACTCGTTTATAATAGATTTAATATATTTTGTTTTGTTTACGATGAACGCGGAAAGAGATAGTTGAGATTAAGATAATCCAGTGAGTAGTCTTCGATCTAATTGTAAGAGCTTTCATTCTAATTGCCGGAATTTATTTAGAAGCTCTTCAGCATCGTTTCGTTAAACGTTCTTAATCCCATTACTCGAAACGGCACTCGAAACCTTCTTGTAAAAATTTCTTTCAATTATCGTGAGACTAACCAATCCAAATTGTTCTTACGTTCCTTTTTACCGATCAATCGATCGATCAGTTATTTAATCGATCGACAAAATAATTAAAAAGGTTAAAAAAAGATAAACAATCTGAAAATTTGAAAAAAAAATGAAAATAAAAAAGAAAGTAATTTTGAATTTATTTCGCGTTGTTATAATGTTCAATTTATTTTAAATTGATTAATTTAAAATTTGCATTTTTGTTTTTGGTAGCTGGATGGGTTAAACAAATTTGAAATAATTTTGTTTGTTCGGCCAGAGTTATACTTATTTAAAAATAAACTCGACCAACCTTTTTATATGTAAAGTTAGATTTTATATACAATCATTATATGCAATGCATAAAATTCAATGCATATCATATACAATGCACAAAATAAATATATAACTTTTTTTTTTTTTAGATTTATTTATTCATTAATAATTTTTGTCCAAAGTTAATAAGAATTGATAGAAAAGTTAATTAATATACGTAACTAAAATTAGACTTATACGTAAAAGAGAAACAATATTTATTATTACATTTTTTTTTAAATATACGCGAAAACAATGATTATAATGTTTATTGAAAATTTTATATTTGTAGAATAAAAATAATTCTCGTTTACGCGGATATAGATTTTTAATTAAATTTTTATTTAAGAAAGTATCAATCGAGTGCATAAGATTTTTTTTCTTTTCATTGAAAATACTTTAATATATATATACATATGCGAATAAAATACGTGGATACCATACATATAGATGTATACTACATGGAACATACGTGAACTCAGTGAACTCACTGGTTCGCGAACGTAAACCTGGGTAATTCGTTCTAATTAGCTCGCTGTGCATCGTTGCGTGGGAATAACATTTTGGCTAATGAGCACGACAACGGCCAATGTTAACGTTCTGCGATGTTCACGAATCAACAAAATAACAATACTAATTTCAAAAGGGTAAACTTTGTGATATAATGACGCCTTTTCAAATAAGACCCTTTAGATCGTCTTTACAACTTCATTATACACTCATTCTTTTTAATTTTATCAAATACGAGAGAGGGAGGGAAAAAATAATAAAAGATATGATATAATCATAATCATTTTTGCAATATAAGATTCCCCAAAACTTCCTAGGCTATAGTATTTTTTAAAATCTCAAAAAAAAAAAACGAATTGGTCAAAATAATCGAAAAAGAAAAAGAAATAAGTAATTGGTTTTTAAAATAATTTATTTATTTATTTTTTCTTCCTCTTTATACCCAATTAATTTTAATAACAAACAAAAAGAAATTATTTATAAGTTATACACACGTACAAGGGTGTTATACGAGGTCTAAGAAATTAGAATATTTAATTCGTAATAATATAGTTTAATAAAGTTTGCAACGTTGCGTTTGAAATAAATTATCAACTATAATAACTATTGCAAAATTATTATTCCTAGTTAAAATAATCTATAAACTTTAGTTCGACGTTAGACATTCGTTTATAAATGAAATCAATCGATAAATCCTAACGACAAAAAATAATGTTTATGATTTTTGATCTAACATTGTTATCATCGACAAAAGAAAAACCCAAAATATTCGTGCGTTCATTCCAATAGATTCTTAACAAATGTAAATTATTTTTTCTTCTTCCTCCTTCTCCTCCTCCTCCTTTAAATAAATTTCCATGAAATTTTATCTCGAAGATGTAAAAATAAAATCGATTGGTTAGTTCGTCTTACTTAATCTTGACTAAAGAAACGCATTAAAAGATATCCGGATGATTGTGCCCTAACCCAGTTTGCACGAATAGCCAACCCACTCGTCGAATCAAGAACGAAGGGTCGCTGATGTAGCTTCCGGCTTTATAAACTCTTCCCGGCATTAAGAGACCTAGATCGCACCTAACGGAGCCGCGTACTATGCAACGATTATGTAATTCTAACGTATAATACATACACCAAATGCACTATTCGATTATGTTACCATATCATGTCTAAGGAAGTTTATTGCGATGCGACGCCATTGGATGATGATGATGATGTCTCTCCCATTATAATTATCATCGATTAAATTCATTAGATGGACACTTTTTTTTTCCCCTTTTTTTTATACAATTATTTATATTGGATTATGCGATACGAATGAGATACGAATAATGTATTACGAATCTATTGTAATTTTTGTTTTTTATTATTATTGTTATTACTATACAAACATTTATGCTTACTGTTTAATTGTAAGGTATAATTTTATTTTATTTTGTTTTTATTTAATTTAATTTTAATGATTTATACTTTATTATCGTGTGATTTTTTAAATTCTTTTTTCATTTATATAATTTAATAAAAATAATATTAAAGAGTCAGATGATAATGAACATTAATTATAAGAATAGAAGGAAGAAACAATATTTTTCTATGATTCAGATAATTTTCATTGTTTCTTTATGAAAAAGTTACAAAGTTTAATATTAGATAGAATAACTTGATTGATATGCATTTGTATATGTAATATTTAAGATTATTGAAACAATAATACAATTAATTATTAAGGTTCTTCTTGGTGTCATTAAGAAACATTTGCATGACTTAAGATCTTTTTTAAAATTGGCAATGAAATAAACGTTATCGAATCGCATTTAACGATATATCTTTTCCAATAACGTTATCTCGATTGGCGAATGTGGCTTAACGAACCAATGCGATACGGTGCTGAGGTATAACTCGGGGCGGTATAGTCATTTCATCTACGAGAGAATGAGAAGAAAGATTCTTTGTAAAGTTCATAAAGTAAAAAGAAGAAAATAAAAATAATAATAATAATAATAATAATAATAATAAAACAACAACAACAACGACAACGAC